AACTACAACTACAACTCACAAAAGTCCACTTACCATAGCATTTCAAACATGCACACATATACACACATGGGGGTTCGGTCTGTTAGACTTGTAAAACACAATTCTATTATTTTACTTTCATCTCTCACATTTATCTTTAGCTTCATGATTTCATCTATAACTACAATTGTTTCAGTTTTAGCCATTCATAGAGGAGTGATTAGGGTCAAACCCTCTTTAAGTTTTTGTTTGATTCTTTTTTCATCTGAGCTCCGGCGAGGGTAGGAATCCATGTAGTCCGTGTTGGTGAGTGCCAGGCTTCTTGGACCCCAAACTAAAGTCAGGGACCAGGCTTTCTGCTAGTGTCTATCTGTCTCGATGGTCCTATATTGGAATGACAACATTATTAACTTTTTCTGCACCTACAAGCAGGGGGGAAGGGGTACTTCCCGTATGAAGCTCTCCCTGTTTCTTCTCTCCATGACCAGGTTCCTGTGCACCCAACTTCTAGGTCGAGCACATGCAGGTGCTCCCCAGATTTTGCAGCAAGAGTTTGGTGCATAGCTTGACAGCACCCAAGACTAATTTTAAACATCCTTGTCCCTGCCCATGTCTGCTGAGATAAACGCCACTTTAACGTTTCACGTGCGATGGATGTCACTAAGTGCTTGCTCATTTGAGTTCAGAACAGAGACGGGAAAGACACATGTTAGAGTCAGAAAGGTGAAGATCTGAGCACTGAAAGCAACATCAGAATCCCTGAAGTGGTTGTAAGGCCAGCAAGTCATCTCCTACTCTTACTTCTCACTGGAAAAGGGAGTGCCCTCCATTGTCCTTTAAACCCAGATTCATGTTTCTCCTGGGCATTCTGGGTTCTGATATGTTGGGTCTCACACCACATTTTTATCCATCTCTCCTCACACCACATAGCATCCGCTCTTCCGTGCACAAAACTTTCTGACTAGCTGTTCCCAGCTAAGGACCAGGAGCTGCAGGCTCTTCGCATCCTATGTCTGAAACAGCACACGTGTGTGTTATGGTTTTGTCTCCCTGCCTCCTCCTTACCCTGCTCCATTTGTTTCTGTTAATTGCTATGCATACCACCCAGCTTTGAGACTTCTCTTTCGCACATGCCTCCCCGCAGCGAAAGGTACTTCTGCAGGGCTGTTAATTTCCGGTGTGTGACTCCGGAGGGATTTGTCTAATCTCAGGGGGGTGACTAAGAGCCTCTATCAGGTCTTCTGGGCTTGGTAGGATGTTCCCTCCAGTCAAGCATGTAGGGAGAATGAGTCAGCCAAGAACATCAAACTGAGCAGGAGATTGCCATGTGACATCATTGTCAAGCCTTGCCTCTGACCGGCTTATCTCTTCTTTGTCCCTAGACTCGGCATTCACACTGTGACTTGGTGAATGTATCTTGAAGGAAATGTACCTATTTGGAAAAAAAATAATGTTGGCATCTTTAACTTGGTTTGATTTCACTTGAGGCAACACTTATTTAATTCCTGCTGTGTGCTGGAACTTAAGCTACTATCCCTGGGCAGCTGTTAATCTAGCTGAAAATAAGACATATAAATGGAAATGCACAGAGAATTCTCACTGCTGGGTGAGGGAGGGAAGGCTGCCTAGGATTTGAAGGGCATCTACTTTTTAAGAATGAACCAAGTGGACAATGGTGCCAATGAGAAACTGACCACATGGAGATACTGATTGACCAGAGATTTTGGTGCCACCTCTCTCTTGTCCCCTACGTGTCCAGTACAATTCAAGGTAGGATCTTCACAAACAAATCCAGGTGGAGAGCTGTGGCCATTGCTTCCAGAGAGATTATTCTGGACAACCCCACCCCAAGTGAGTTCCTCTACTGATTTATACAGTTGAGAGTTATTTTCTGAAACTGTATAATATAAAACATGGTCTTGTAAACATGTAACTCAGGACACAGTGTTTTTCCATTTGCTTGTCCCGGACCTCCTATGAGTAGTGATTCAGTCAGTCTCTTTCCTACTGAGCCTCTGCAGCCCAGACAAGTGCCCAGATTGTCCTGGGTACCAAGTGAATATTGCTCTCTATCATAAGGGCTGGTCTGGGGTGATATATGTGGCAGAAGAGGCAGAAAAATGATGAGAGTCAGAGGTGGCAGATGCCTCCAAGGGAACAATATTCTTCCAGATAGAACCAGGCTGATATAGACATGAACTCACAGAGACGGTGACAGCATGCACAGACCTGCATAAATTCAAACCATACAAAACCCCAGCACAGAGAAATGGAAGTGGGCACAGAGTCCCCTACTTAAACGAGAAGCTATTTGTAATTGATGCTTGCTGGAAGAAAAAGAACCAGGTTTCATCAATAGAGTATCTCCGGATATATCAACCACATTTTAGGGCAGGCCCCATGCCCAGGAGTTGCTCATTAACACAAAAAGTCCCCGTGTCCCCGTGTGTTTTGTACTTTTTTTTGTCTTTGTGTGTCTGTGTACATCCACATGTGTATGTTTTAAAAGAGAAAGAAAGAACATAAAATTGGGTGAGTAGGTGGAAGGATCTGGGAAGAACTGGGGGAAGGGAAAGAATATGATCAAAATACAGTGTATGAAAATTAATTTTAAAAAGTGAATTGGGAGTTGCTGACTATCCTTTTAACATGGAAAGAGACAGACAAGAGGAAGAAGATGAGGAAGAGGAGGAGGAAGGCAGCTGCTTCTCAGGTTCTTTTCCTTCCACCGCAGTGTCTATGGGCTGATGAGTCAGCTATTCCTTGCAAAAATTGAACTATTTTAGTTTTCTGTGTCACGATAAACTGAAATAGCCCCGACATGCGCTTACAGTGATTGCTTCCTCTTGAATTATCTGGCCGAACCAGTGCAGGATGGTCCTTATCACTTCACTTTAGAAACAGCCCCATGTTCTGGCTGCAGCTGTACATTTGGGGCAGGAAGGGAAGCTGCTGATCACAGAAAGGCAAGAGAAGGCAGGCACCCCCAAAGGAACCCTGGTGAAAAGCCCTTTCCTTCTACAGAAAAGGTTCCCCCTGTTCCAGTGAGAAAATAGATGTATGGTTTGTGAGCAACTCCTCTACAGTGCAGATATCACCTGCCCTGCAAGGGGTCTTCCAGAGCCTGCACAGCCCCGCAAGGGGGTCTTCCAGAGCCTGCACAGCCCCGCAAGGGGGTCTTCCAGAGCCTGCACAGCCCCGCAAGCCTGTTGCACAGAAATCTATCCTCTCGCTCTTACACAGATGCACTTCCTTCTTCCCCTGGATGATGTGTCAACTCTCGGTGAATTTCACACCATAAGGGGAGAAAATTCTTGAGATAAAACTTATTTCAAGATTCTTACAATGGGTTCATTCATTACATCAAACTGTGTTTAATTAAAGGCACACACGTTTAATCCCAACACATGGGAGGATTGAGCAGAAAGATCAGGAATTCAAGGTCATCCATGAGCTACCCCAGATTGAATCAGTCTAAAAGAGAAACAGAGCCAGCCAGAAAAGGCTCATACCTTTAATCCCAGCACAAGGGAGGTGGAGACAAGAATATAAGGCAAGAAACCAAATATGAGTGAGTACATCCCATGTTCCTCTTTTTGGGTCTGGCTTACCTCACTCAGGATAGTGTTTTCTATTTCCATCCATTTGCCTGCAAACTTCAAGAAATCCTTGTTTTTTACTGCTGAGTAGTACTCTAATATGTATATATTCCATACTTTCTTCATCCATTCTTCAATTGAAGGGCATCTAGGTTGTTTTCAGGTTCCGGCTATTACAAACAATGCTGCTATGAACACATGGGATGTACTCACTCATATTTGGTTTCTAGCCATAAATAAAGGACATTGAGCCTATAATTCGTGATCTTAGAGAAGCTAAATAAGAAGGAGAACCCAAAGAAAAACATATAGGCATCCTCCCGAACATTAACCTTCATCAGGCGATGAAAGGAGACAGAGACAGAGACCCACATTGGAGCACCGGACTGAAATCTCAAGGTCCAAATCAGGAGCATAAGGAGAGAGAGCATTAGCAAGGAACTCAGGACCGCGAGGGGTGCACCCAGAAACTGAGACAATGGGGATGTTCAATTGGGAACTCACCAAGGCCAGCTGGCCTGGGTCTGAAAAAAAACCCGGGATAAAACCGGTCTTGCTAAACATAGCGGACAAGGAGGACTACCAAGAACTCAAGAACAATGGCAATGGGTTTTTGATCCTACTGCACGTATTGGCTTTGTGGGAACCTAGGCAGTTTCGTGGATGCTCACCTTACTAGACCTGGAGGGAGGTGGGTGGTCCTTGGACTTCCCACAGGGCAGGGAACCCTGATTGCTCTTTGGGCTGACGAGGGAAGGGGACTTGATTGGGGGAGGGGGAGGGAAATGGGAGGTGGCGGAGGGGAAGAGACAGAAATCTTTAACAAATAAATATATAAATAAAAAAAGAATATAAGGCAGGCAGAGACAGGATGACAGAGCATTCATCTGAAGACTTGTAGAGACAGGATATCTGTTCGGTTTGTGGTCTCTCTAGTGGCTGCTGTTCTGCTTCTCTGATCTTTCAGCTTCCACCCCCTAATATCTGACTCTGGGATTTTATTATTAAGACCAAATTATAAATCGCACGGCAAAACTATGCCTGTAAATACCAATGACTTTCAATCAAGGAATTTCACTCTATCTTAAGGTATCTATAAAGAGACACAGTTGTTGGGCTTGTGTTGTCAATGAATACTTTGTGGCAAGAAGCTGACACTTTGTCCCAGGCCTCTAGCCAGTGGTTGACGGCTTGATTTTGCATAGCCTCTCAGGATTAGATAACCAGGGTCAGGCGTTCCTGAGCTCCAAGTCATTATTTTATTCCTTATTTGTGACACGGTGTCATGACTGTGTGAATGCTATGTTGAAAGAGTTTGGATTAAGGAAAATTTTGGGTAAGAGAAGAACCAGAAAGACAAGGATGGAACATGGAGTTACAGCCATTTCACTCACCAGCTATGTGACCAGGGCACTCACTCACCTCCTTCTTTGCTGGGGATGCAGTAATGATGCCCACCTGCAGAGCAACTGGCACTTCATAGACATTGGTGTGATGTCTGTCCTTCCTCCACCTTGGTGAATGTGGACACACCATCACAAAACTGCCCATAGTAGAGCACCCATGACTCATGATTCCATCCCAGGTGACCTAGTGTCAAAGCAATGCAGGGAGACCTTGCAGGGTTCTTGAGACAATGGAGCCAATGACCCAGAATTGACTTCTTCAGGAAGAAGCAATTTCTCCTACACTACAGATGGAGCAGCTACAAGTGATAGGTAGCTGCAAGAGGCAGCCAAGAGAAGGAAGAGATTCGGAATCGTAAGATCATCTTGGAGGCCACTGGGACTGGGGAAACACTGTTCTGATATTTTCAATAAGACACACAGCCAGAAACCAAGTAGAGAGTGTTCAAGGCACTGTCCCCAAAGCATCATCTTCATTATTGCCCTGAGCTCCTTACTGGCCATGTCCTTCTAAGTCTTGGTGTAAGGAAGTTTAATGGTCTCTTTCTCCTAAGACAAATGTCTGCCTAGTTTTATTTTTCTTCAGGCAGAATTATCCAGCAGTCACTCCCCTCAAGACTTTGCCCAAGGCATACCTTCTAGTGACCCCCAACATCTTCCCAAGGCGTCTAATTTCTCTTGTAGAACCCCAGCATTCTTCCTGTTCCTAATCTGAACAGTATGTGAAGTCACCAATTCTGGCTCATGCACAGTATCCAGGAAGGCAGATATCTGCGGTGACCTCAGCAGCTGAGGACTCTCTAGTTCCCCAGAAGTGGGTCAGTGGGTGGAAACAGTCCTTGGGCTGCAGTTCTTTTGCCAAAACACAGGCTGAGCATGGTGGCTGTTGTTCTGTGTCCTCTGAGTTACAAAGTGGGCCCTCAGAACAAAGGAGAGCAGAGACGAGGAAGTGGAGCAGAGCCTGTTCCCCTCAGACTGGAGAGACTCAGAGGCAAGGGAGCCTGCCATCCAGCCAGGCCTGCTCGCTCAGGCAAGTGTTCTTCAGGAGACATTTTAAAACCCTTACAGTCTCTGAGAGGAGGCAGCATCAGCAAAGATGTTTTGTTCTGGATTCATGAGGATCTCTGTTTCAGCGAGAGTGCCTACAACTATCAGGCGAGAAGTGAGTCACCAATCACATTTAAAATTGTTATGACAAGAATCATATATAAATCATACCTCCGAAGGTACAATGGGTTAGCAAGCTGCACTTAGGAGAATTGCTTATAAATCAAAATTCAATGTTTGGGGGTCAATGGGATCTCATTGATCAACAACTCTGAAGAAGTACCCCATTCCCGGCTCTGGGGTTTTCATTTATTATCCTGTGGAATCTAGTTACCCCATTATAAGGTAACTCCACTGTGTGTGTATTTGCATGTGTGTGTGTATGTGTGGGTGTGTTTTGAGAAGCTTCTACAGCAGCAGATTTTCATATTATTTCTTTATCTTTGGTGTTAGTCGTCCCTGCCTGTTCTTTCTGTTCCATGCCAAAAGTTTATCTTCTTTCTGGGTCGAGGTTGTCTACTCAGTGTGATTATTCCCAACTCATTCCATTCACCTTTGGCTCTCCTTTCTCTTAACAGTTGAGTAGTGTTCCACTGAATAACTGGCACACCCCTCCCCCAGACTAGGGGCAGAAATATTTGAGCCATGGGCAGAGTTTTCCAGACACAGACAGTCGCATATACAAATTCACAACAGATGAGGCCGATGGCGTGCATTAGGTCTATGCTGTCTTGCATGGGAGAAATTCTCGCATGAAGCAGGGAGGTAGGCAGAAAGTCCTATCCCTGGCTAGGGAGCTGCTGACAGTTGGGAGCTGCTGGGAGAAAACTCAGTTTTCTTTCAGGCTGTGGCCCCATGTGGGCTGAAGGCACTCTAGTGGAAGGTTGTTAATGTAAGAGAATACGGACAGCACAAATTGTACTTGGTGGGCTTAAGGAAAAAAAAATGTAAAGTTGGAGGGGGCTGGACCTGGGCTGTGGACGTGAAGTTGGGTAGATAGGGAGGGGGCTGGACCTGGGCTGTGGACGTGAAGTTGGGTGGGTAGGGAGGGGGCTGGACCTGGGCTGTGGACATGAAGGTGGGTGGATAGGGAGGGGGCTGAATCTGGGCTGTGTGTAAGAGGTGAATATGCTCAAGTTGCATTGGAAGAAATGGTTCAGGGTTTGCTTTTGCTTCACATCAGAATGCATAGTCTGTTTGTTGTTGCTCAAGATTATATTCTTAGCCTTAGGCATGGCTTAACCTCAGACCGCAAAGGGAGGACTTAATAAGGAAACTTTTGGTGCCTCAATGAATTATGAAATAACAAATCTAGACTCCTGCTTTGTACGCACCTTGGTTTCTGTTTTTTAATCAAGTGTGTGGCTGCCTTTCTGAATACTAGTGTAGGTTTTTAGGGGTTCAGTCACAGAGGGCAAAGTCGTCCCTGAAAGAGGGCATGGCCAATGCCGTGTTGTGTGGAAGAAGGGCAGGATACCCATGGCTGCACTGGATTCCCTTCAAATTAAAAGAAGTAGCTTTCCTCCAAACACTACAGGTCGCACCTACGTCGTAGGGATTGCTGGTCCACCACAGTTTCCTGCCAGCCTCTCGGCTCCGCTGCAGACCACAGCTCCCTCGTCCTTCTCCGGATTTCTGGATCCGCCTTGCAGAAACCTGGCATCTGCTCTCCATCTTCTCACTCATGAGCACTTACTGCATTTCACAGTTTCACACCCATGCCGGTGAGATCCAAGTGTGACTTGTAGAGATATCCCCCCCCCCCCCCCGCCTTGGGAGCAGTCTCAGCACCTTTCCTTGGTGCTCGAAGGCCCTTTCTAGGGATGTGACACCACGTCCCCTGCTCAGTGACACTGTGCCATTCCCAGCAGTCTGTGAGATCTCCGCTACTACAGCTATGACCCGCGGGCGGACTCTCGTCTCTCTGGTATGCTACAAGCACTCTGCCAGAAATTACTACTTGCTTATCTCCTTTGGTTCACCGGCTTAGAGAAAAGTATTTTTTAATGAAGGAAGAAACAAGCCTCACCCACTCAATAAATATTGGGCCAAACACGCTCGCTTCCCTTATCAATCTGCCCCCAGCTGTGCTTGGAGACGTCAGGAATATTGGTGTGATTCATCCCATAACTAAAGCACTCACAAGAGCGAAATATAAACCAGGACAGTGGCGTACTCTGCTCTCTCTGCTGAGTCTCTAATGACGGGTGCAGCTCTCCCAGCATTAGATTAATAAACTACAGGTCCTCTCATCAGATGCTGGGAAAATGCAAGCACATCACATGGACGAGTAGACGAGGCAGGGGAGGATTCCGTGGGAATGTTTAGACTCCACCACGGACCGATTCTGCAGGAGGCACTCCGTGACTTCAAACATCCTCCTCTCGAGTTCCTCTTCATCTCCATGGACAAATATTTGAAATGAGCAAAGAGCTTTGGAACACTCCCCTGTGGCCTCCTCACCTTTAAGGATGACAGTGATTGGTGGTTGCTTCAGAGGCTTCAGGTTGGAAACAGCGCATGGCCGGTCTCTTTGGAGGAAAAAAGTCCTGATTGTGCTGCTTGAGAATAATCTGTTCTGGAAACAGATGCGTGTGGGGGACACTCCTCACTCTGGAGGGATGGAGTTTGAGTTTCCCTCCTTGGAGGTAGGGAAGACTATGTAGGAAATGCCAAGTCTGTCTCCACTCTGGCCATTTCTGCCCCTCTGTGAAAAGAGACAGAAGCAGAAGCGGGGTAACAGAGTCAATTCATTTGCATCAGATGCCTGGGCGGACTTGGTTTCTGGATGTGTCTGTGAGGCTATCTCTGGAAGAGAGCAGCTTTTGCCTCAGCAATTGTAGTAATAAGAGGGGCAGGGCTGCGTCCCCAGCACCCCAGCCGCCTGGCTAGCTTATGCCCGAAATAACAACACACAAACTGTCTTCATTTTAACACTGCTTGGCCCATTTCTATCTAGCCTCTTCTAGGCTAATTCTAACATATTAATTTAGCCCATTTCTTATCATCTATGTAGCACCGCTAGGTGTGCTTACTGGGAAGATTCTAGCCTACGTCCATCCTGGGTCAGAGCTTCATATGCCCAGGAGAGCGAAGCAGGGCCTCTGCTCCAGAGAGCAGAGCTGTCGAGTCTGAGCTCACTTTCTCTTCCTCCCAGCATCCTGTTCTGTTTACTCCTCCCACCTATGTTTTAACCTATCAGGGCAAGCAGTTTCTTTATTTAATTAACCAATGACCTTCCTCCATCAAGCAATAGAAACAGGTGAGGACCCAAGGAAAGCTCATTCTGTCCTGAGCAAGCCTGGCTCCCAGGCTTCCAATTCAGCCTCAGGCTGGCAGGAAACACAGTCCTTCCAGCTTTCTTCTACCAATCGGATTTGAGAGATGTCCGGAGCTGTCCCAGCAGCCACAGCAAGGTGTGCGGCTCCTGCTGAACACACTAACGTCTAGAATGTAGGAAGTCTGAGGCCATGAGGATTCCAGAAGACAAGGCCCTACTGAAGGAGGGTGGGGTCCAAGACACCATGCAGCTCAGTCAGCGCGGTTGCTGATAATTGTGATGTAAGCGCTGCCTGTTTTCTTCTTACTCGCTAGATAAGGTTTATTAAGATGCCTGCAGGAGAATCCTGGGAGCTGGCAGTGCAGAGACAAGCTAGCTTTCTGTATGCTTCCACAGAATCACCCAACAGAAGCTCAAATCTGATAGCAATGCGTCCTATGTCCTCTTTACTGCTGCAGTTTCTTCCCCGTCAGGACACTCCGGTAACCTGACTTCGTGGATGTCCTAGGCTGTTCAGGCAGCCATGAGAACACCAGTTAGGAACCACAGAAGAAGCAGAAGCTCATTCCCTGTAGCTTTGGAAGTACAGGTTTGCAATCTGGTGCAGACCCCTGCCTTAGAGATGGCATCCTGCCAGGGCGGAGGGCTCAAGGATGTGTCTTTATATAATGGCAGTAATCCTGTTCACCAGGGGTCCACCCTATGGCCTGTCCTACTGAAAGTTTCACTTCTTAACACTATCTGGCAGGGCATTGGTGTTGTAATGAGAGCGGCAGGGCTGCGTCCCCAA